GTCATACTACTGACAATTCAATATTTCTACTGATCATTTATATATGCTTTTACTGGCCATTTCATTTATTTTACTGACCACTTAAATGATAGCCGTTTTATTTGACTATGATAGGAAAAGTCTTTCACGAAAGCGGCGATGGGTCGATTTTTCCACAGAAAGCTATAGAGAAAAATGGCTATTTTTGAAATAACTCAGGAACGACTCGGCCGATCCTTCTCATCTTCGAACTCGACGGAGATATTGTCAAGACTAAGCTGTGTAGAAAGTTTCATCGCAATCTGACTCTGCTGTCAAAAGGAATCATGTAAACAGCCAACCGGACGGACGGACACACTGACTATTCTATAGTGTACTCACTTTTTGAGTACACAAAACTATGATTCAGTTCAAAACTAATATCAGATTCAGAATCAGCGTTAAAAACTGAGTCGATTTACGTATTTTGTGAATAAGTATGAGCAAAAACTTTTTTTTCGAAAAATCCCCGTACCCCCCCCCCCCCCCCCCGGGTGGGTTGGTCAAAAATCACAATTTTTTCGATAACTCAGCCATTTCTTGGCGGATCCTTTTCATCTTCGAACTCGACCGAGATATTGTCAAGACTAAGCTGTGTACAAAATTTCATCGCAATCTGACTCTCCTTTCGAAAGTTATCGTGTTAACGGCCGGACGGACACACAGACCGATTTTAGTAGTGTACTCACTTTTTGAGTACACTAAAAATAGTTCATCCAACAGCCCAAATACGATTTCACTCTATTTTACTCATAAGAGGGTGTGGGTGTGGGTGTGGGTGTGGGAATCATTATAGGTCTTGTCTTCACCCACATTCACACCCTGTGATAGACATGCACTTAACATAAGACAAGTTAACCCCCATTTAGCCATACATAGTGATTTTCTTTGTGTAATATTTGTCATTGATAATAAAGTCCATTCATTAACTTTAGCTGAATAACGTGCATTAATTAAAGCACGAAAAAAAAACTAATATGTGCAAGTAATAATGATAAAGGACGTAATAAAAGTAAAGCCTCATATGGTAATGTTGATGATTGTTTAGTACGTTCATATAATTCTTCAACAAGTTCAATAAGAATATTATCTGATGATGATATTATTGATGAACTATCAATTATTGTTTGTTCTTTATTAACATGTTCATTATTTAATGGATTTTGTATTTTTATTTGGTCGTTGTAATAATCTATAAATACGTGAAAGTATTAACACCATATATCATTTTTGGGATATTGACCAACTATTAAAAGTTTTTCAAGACTAATTGATATAAATTTTTGTGCTAAATTATCATCATTAATTAATGATAATAAAATATCATATGAATTTAAATCAACTTCATGAATAAACATGATGCATATGCATGAGTTTTAGTTATTAATTTATAATTACGTTCAATTAAATTTATATATAATTCATTATATTCTTTTGTTCTTTGTTCAAGTAATATACTAGATTTACATAAATTATAACTTATTAAGGATATTATTAAATCATCTTCATCAAACCATGTACAAAAATATTCGACATATAAATGATAAATGTTGTGATGATGTAAATAAATCAGATAGATATATAAATGAACCTATTAATTCATATTACATATATTTCAATTAGAACTTGTAATGATGATGTTAAATCAAAACCATGATGAAAAAATAAGCGATCAAATAAACTCTAAATTATATATTTTTAAAGGTAGATGCCAGCAAAGAAAATGTTCATACTCTAATTTTTTGATTGATAGAATTTATTTGAAATTATTGATATAAGCTTTTATTTCTATGAAATAAGATAATTTGCATGTATTATATATCAAATCAAAGTCAGAGAAACACTAGATTTTCTGTTTGATGAAATTAATAATTTAGCAATAAATTTATCTTTCTCTTAACTTAGAGTTCTGTATACATTTATGTTGAACGTTCAATATTAACAAAACTAAAAGTTCTATTTGTCGATTATTAAAACATATGTGAGACTTACATTAACTGATAATGGTAATGTATTATTACTTTGGATTGATGTTAATATAGTATCTTATGAAAGTTGTCCATAGGATAATAAATCACGTGTACCTAACCGTTCAATATTAAATTATTTGAACTTGTATCTAATGTTCGACGTGTTTGCATATATTGACCACCGATAAAAAAAGAACAGATAAAATCTAGTTTATTTTTCAATCTTGTTACCATTGTGTTGCATTTGTTTCTAAAGTTTCTTCTTTTTTTTAAAAATTATTTGTTGTTTGTTTATTTTCATCATTAGATTGATTTGTGGTGAATTAATTGAAGCTAAAAATGAAGCCTATATTTCTTGAAATTGTATTCTTAATAATCAACCAACTCGAAAATTGTCTTTATATAAATATTGGTAAACAAAATAATAATATAACTATACAATATAAATCATGTCAATAAATATATGATATATATATATATATTTAATTTTTTTTTGTTAAATAATAAAGATGATCAAGATCATTAAATAATAAAAGTAATAATTGAATACAAGATCTTTTATCTGGTTCAATTAAATTTAAATATGATTATAATATATTTGATATAGTTAAACCATGTCGTTGATAAAGATATTCAAATATTGATGGTAGTGTTTTCGATAATGTACAACATGATATTATCTGATCTGTTTCACAACTAAGAAATCATGTTTTTTTTTTTTGAAATATATTTATATAAATTATTTCTGATATAAATATTATAAAACGTAATAAATCATGTATATCACCTGTTGAAAATTGACATGTTAGTTCAACATAATTTTGTATTGTATCAAAGTATATTGATAGAGAATCTATGAATGCAATTGAATATGGTTCATTATTAGAAGCATGATAAAAGACTTTTTTCATAAATTGTATTAGGTGTTGTTTCAATGTCATTTTAATTTGTTTCATTTGATATAACTATACAAAATCCTAGGAAAACAAACAAAGAACAGATTTATATTGTTTCTTATTTTCTCAAATCAATTTTCATTTACTATAAGAATCATCCTAAAAATTTAATGCTGTGGAAAAAATCCAATACGTTTTCGGAGTTCACGAGTTCAAACTTATAGAAAGTTTATCGAAATTCTCGAATGCAATTTATTTCGAAATATTATTTTCGGTTGCAAATAAATAACACAATCGAAAACATCTTACGAAATATAATATTAGAAAGACGTTGTTTTCTTTAATTGTAACAGTACAAATAGCACGACTGAGAATTTGATCAATAAGATTCGAGAGAAATTATTCGGTCATTGTACCAATGTAGCTTAAATGCTTTCCTTTACGATTTGTATTACCTGAAATTCTGCATATTTTCTATTTCAAAATATTTTTCGAAATTTTGAATTATTCAAAAGTCTCATCTATTACTAGCACATAAACAATGTCAAAGTAATAAAAGAAACATTTCTTTTAATTGGATTAAAATTTTTATTATACATATATATTTATTTATTTCGATAAATTAAACTAAAATATACCGGTGACATCATAAATGGTAATCAGTTTTTATAAGTTATATTTTTAAGCATTTGTTCATAAATTTTTCTTGTTATATCCATAGGACAATTAAGATTATTAAAATCTTCTTTAATAATATCAATTGATGTTGTTATTGATAATATTTATAAAATTAATGGTAAATATTCAGGTAATAATTGTTTATTTAATGTTTGTTGATCAAGTGTTAATATCATTTCAATACGATCATAAAAAATTAATTCAGCTGAACGTAATACAGATATATATATATATATGGTAATGGAAGAAATTGTTCAATTAATAAAACTAATACAAGATCACTTTCATCTAAATGTATTCCTTCACAAAAAAATAAATGACTTGCAACTGATGTATGATATATAAGTTCAAATAAAAAATAATAATAAAAAATAATAATGTGTTGTTATTGATGTAAAATGTTCAACATATAATTCATGATGATATATTAAATCACAATAAGATTGTAATTAACCATTTATAGATAAATGTGTTATTAATGATGATGGTGTTAATATTGGTGACCACCATGCTTCTTGTGTATAATCAAGCATATTCAGAATATGTATCCATTGTAATAATAATGAG